ACATCTTCATCCTTATTTCCGATATTCTGCTGGACAACACTGCGAAGTGGAAAATGTGACTCGCTATCATATGGTCACTGCTCCTTGCTTTTCCAAACGATAGTACCAAATTCGCGAACGGCATTCATCTACCCTGAAGATTTTCTTCCACCCTTTCGCACCCTGACATCCAACAGAACACAACCACAAATACAGCAACACATCTACAAGTACAAACAACACCCCTACATACACATATCTTCATATTCACGCAACGCAAGGCAAATTCACTGTTACCGGTAAACTAGCTACGTTTCTGTAGATTTACCTCTTATTCGTGTAGCTTTACCATGATAACACCTTCGAAGATGCGCCTTGTGTCGTCAAGAATATAACTTTATTTATTTATGTACTTTTCCTCTTACTCATATACGCCTGGTGTACAATCAAAGAAATACGCCAAAACTTTTTGAATGATACTAACCAGATCTCGATGTTCATGTACAGCTTCTGAGCTGAAAATAAATAAATACTTTCATCTTTCAATTCTGCTTTTTAGAACGCGGCAAGGTAGAAAAAAGATTTTACGTAAATTATACGATAAATTCTATGGCATATGGAACATTCTCAGCAATTCACCAGTCGGATGCAAACAACTGCTTTTAATGACTCACCTACAGGCCGGTACAAATCGTGCAAGGTTGAAATACAAAGAAATGCACAGTGATCGGTTCAGACGTAGGTCAATGGTTAGACGGCAGATAGTTCGTCACTGTCTTGTTCGTACATATCGACCTGGGTTACGTAATCACACTAAATAAACGCCTGCCAGAGTGACGGTTAGGTTGACCGCTGTTCGGGCAGGGTAGACAAAGTGAATAAACAAACTTTCGCGAGCATAACGGGGGCTGGAAAATTCGGATTGCAATAGCATCTGCTGTGGCGAGCATGTGTACACGCGGATATGGTGATTTCTTCAATAGGACCAGGTAAGCCACAGTAAACGCATTCGGAAGGTTAACCCTGTAACCTGAATCGAAGAGTTTTGTGGAAACGTCAAGTGATCCCACGAAAATACGCAACTGCGCCGCGAACTTCAATATGCGGGCTGCACCACGCGGGGTCCATTTCCTACACCCAACGCAACAGGTTCCAGACAGTCCAAGTTAGTGTACAGCCGTGCCAAAGCGAACAAAGGTCTCTTATAAAACACACACCAGAAGTGGTGACTCATTTCACCCACAAAACGAATCGCTGTACCGAACATGTTCGGCCTTTTTGGATCGTAAAATAAATCCCAGCAGTCCACCTCGCCTTCTGTCTTTTGTGCGGCTGGTAGGGATTTGCGTGGGTCATGTGAGTATGCATCACTCTGGTAGGTCGGCTTCGTGTGCGTCACAATCGCGACTAGTCTCTCGGGGAGTGCGCATCGATTCGTCTGGTTTCGCGGGCACAATGCGTTAGCCGAATCCGTGCGTGGACCAGGAACCGCGCAACCTGCGCCGAAGCCATCGCATCTAAGGGAGGAGCACAATTTAATACAAATAGATGGGACAAAAACCATTTTCCAAAACTCCGGTTCGTCAACCATTTACTACTATATACTTTAATGCGATGTGAAAATTGACGAGCCACTCGACCAATACATGCTGACCACAGCTGCACTCAAATTGAGAGATTATGTAAAAGGTCACCTTCGACAGTGTGTCCCTGTCGAACACAGGAATAAACGGGTTGGAGACGAAGATACATCGCAGTTCCGCAGCTTGACTGCGTCAGTTATTCTTGTTATATGCTTAGCAATTGTTCCATCTTTAATAGGAAGACGAATGAAAAGATCCTACTTTTCAACGACTTGCGCAACATCCAGTGTTATTTCGAGCTGCACGTTGCGCCGTATGAATCTATCCCGATTGTTATTTGCACGTAGCGTGTTCTGTGTGGATTTCATCTCATGAGATAATTTGTATTGCCCCGAAGATGAATCATCGTTTGCCCCAGACAGGTGTACTTCATATATTCGATACTTTAGAATTTCAGTTTTTATGTTTCCCTTATCATCACACAATCAAAATTCATCCCCTACCCCTAGGCACAGAAAGCTCTAGAAATATTCTATACCCATTTTGAGGGTCAACGATAAAAGATATGATTTCCATTTCCGCCTAACAGTTAAACTAGCTTGTGGATTTCATGCGACCCGTGGCGGAGCTGTACCCTATCGGGCGCGTCCCCAGGTTGCGGATTGGGGTATACCTTCCTTGTGGGGATAACTGCGAATAAGTCTCGTTTGCCTTGCAGGCGAGATGAATAAACAGTCGCGGACAATCAACGGTAGCGTCTCAGAGCGTGGGGAGTTCTGAGTTGGTCACCTAATTCTCCATCAAATACCACAAGAGCTCGTACGGCGCTGTGTCAAAGCCAATGTGACCGGCTATAAGGTCACTGACCACTCACTTTTGTAACCAGAGGTGAGTAAATAACGCAGCGCGGATGAACAACCTTACTGGTCACCGGTTTCTCTGTGGACTGCTACGGAACACAAAGAAGGCGAAGGAGCCACTCGGATGTCAACAGTCTATGTTAATTGCCCCGCTGCCTTGCGGGTTAGGTCTTGAGACCAAAGACTCGGGGTATATATATATATATATATATATATATATATATATATATATACATTATACACAAGCTGTGGTACAGATATTGTGCTATCGGAATAATGGCTGAATAGGAAAACAATATGAATAAAAAGAAAAGAGCAACAAGAACTGCCTTTTTGGTCCATTTTACCACTCACAGTTTTTGACATTTTTTCAGTTTGTTCGTTTTTTTTAGGGGGAAGAAGAAGGGACACCATAACAAACCGATGCACACGTCCGCCATTGACATCGATCTTGAGCCATAACTTCCAAGGTCTTCAACCAGCAAGTATCCTCATCTCTCGGACCCCAACCAGGTAGTCGACAACAACCGGCCGAGGCCGTTTCGTCAGCTTTTTCATGTGGCTTCTCCATGTTGTAGGCTGTCCACCAGACCGTCTCTTCCAACCCTGTCCAGCAAGTGCAAACAACGCACGACGGGGGTAACGCTGGGCAGACATGCGCAATACGTGTCCCAACCACCGCAATTGATGCAGTGAGATGAGCTCCTCGAGCGAGTGGCTTCCACGTCCCAAGACACGCTGTCTAACTTCCACATTGCTACGTGGTGCTGCCACCACACACGGGCAATGGACCGCAGACAACGGTGCTCGAAGACGGATAGCCTGCGCAAGTCATCTTTACAAATGGGCCAGGTCTCGCACCCGTACAACAGTACAGCACGAACAGTTGTACAATAGACCCGCCCTTTGGTGGAGAGACGAATGTCGTGGCGACGCCACAAATGCCTCAGCCTAGAAAAAGCGAGGCCTGCTCTCGAGATGCGCATCGAAATCTCGTCTCCAATAGCCCCGCCAGCAGTGATGCAACTTCCCAAGTAGACAAAGCTCTCCACAACCTACAGTGTCTCACCAGCAAGCGTGAGTACAGGGTAGGGTCCCTTCAGTCAACCCTCTTCCTTGGCCTGGGCAACTGGGAAGATCTCTGTATACACAACACATTAACCTACTAAACTTTCCAAATCCTTTCACTGACTAGCCGTTTTCCCCCCTTTTTGCTGTTGTTAACTATGTGTTGTGGCATTGCCAAGTGTACATTGGTCAAGTGTTGAATAATAATATGGATTTCACGCAAACTATCGCAAAAATCGTTCACGCTAAAAAAGGCATGTCTCGTGAATCCCAAAATATGCGATTATTATTTTTATTATAACTAATTATTATTATAGCCAAGAACTGTACACGACGTGCCTAAAACCGTTTTGATGTCTATTCGGATTAGCAGTTAAAAATATTGACAATAAATGACGTCAAAGGTAGATTGAAATCGCATGTAAATATGTGGAGCACCGTAGTTTGTAGACAGCGCTTTAATTTTGAGTCGCTGATTGACAATATTTTCACCTATTAACGGAGTATGCTGAGGTTTGTGCTATTTGGCGTGAAGTAATCTGTAACATTTGTCCAGAAAACGCTTTCTTGATGCATCCCGTCCGTGTTTAGTAGTTGGTTCGCCCAAGCAAAATGGCCGAACGCGTAACGACATGTGTAAATGACAGAGAGCAGAAAAATCGCAAATGAAAAGTATGGACATACCGCCTGGAAAAAGTATTGCTATTGCGAGGAGCCCTAACCTCCACAGTGGGTAAATGAAATGAAAGCTTGGGATTCACAACCATCAAACAACCAACCGTAACTATTACATTCAATCAGAGTGGTAAAGGCGAATGCCTAACTAGATGATGTCAGTCCGTGGGCACAAAGTAATGGGAATAGAGATCAATGCGATGGATGTGTTAAATAGCATATCGAGTGGACAAATGACCAACGCTATCATGCCAGACTCCGATTGGCCAGTCACAGCAAGTTTAACGAGTGCAAAGTGAAGAAATGATTCGAGTGGAAAAGTCGCACAGCACACCAGCAAGAGAGGCGTGACTGGGAACAGATACCGGAACAGAAGAAATAGAGATTGATTTAGAGTCGAGCATGGTGAAGTTTAACGCCAAGGTACCGCTGATTATTCGCTCAGCCGTAAGTCGCCCAAAGTATAAGCATTCTAAGCCCAAATCATAATGCTGCGCAACATCAGTGCCCACGGTGCGGACAAAATTTGTTGAATATAACAGCAAGGCGTTCACACACACACACACACACACACACACACAGATCAAGGAAGATGAGGGAGACCAATAGTCGATGAGAGGTAGATTCTGGAAAATTCCACGTCCAAAGCCAGTAATAATGTTCGCGGAGTAAATGAACAGAATTCAATTTAGTAGAATCGGAGATTGAAGTAGAAGTAAAGCTACAGTATCCGTAGTTAAAAAAACTGTAAGTCGGTGCAGTGCAATTTCGTCGGTAAGTGACTGACAGTGGCAAAGTACGAAATACAGAACACGTTAACGTAAACTAGATTAACCTGATGGACAAAATTCCAAATGTTTAGCCTGGTGGTCTTCACACGGCCGAACAGCCTTGAAGGGGCGGCAGGACCGGTCCATGCCACCAAAGTCCCAAAGCTTAACGTCAAAATCCAAACCTCCAGTAGCGATTCTGGCACCGGCAGGATCTACCGCCAGTGCAGTCAGCGGTTTCGTTCCATGACAAAAGGTGAGATGATTGCTAACTGGCAGATAATATGGATCACGCTCTTCATCATCTGTAATTTTCACATCCGTCCCAGTGGGAGATTGACCCGAAGGTGCAACATGTTCAAAGGAAGTGAGTACATCTGTCTCTGCATCCTCAGTGATCTCGGCGGTTTCTGTAGAAATTTGACATAGAAAGGAATGTGAAAGTACCAGAGAGGGCCTCTATGTTCTTATGCAAATTTCTCTCCATCGCTAGTAATCGGGCTTCCTGAAAAATTTTTTCGAAATCAAACTTTTTGGCTTCAACTCGTTTCACTGGTGACAGCGATTTAGTATCCACTTCTTGTGCCATTACAATGCGACAGTCTTTTCCTGTCGAATCTGAAATATCAGACAAAGGATGGATCAAAGTAATTATATAGCCCTTTATAATAAAAGACAATGGTAAAATCGCACGAAACTATGCCGCATTGACTATGGAAGTTGCTGCAAGGCATGCTAGAGCAACTTGTCTCTCTGTGGAACAGTTAAGGAAAGTAGGGAGTGTCTTTTCGCTAGCAGTAACGAGCAACTGAGCCGCATTGACCCGTTAATGACATAACAAGAAAAGCACTTAAAATTGGTGCCAATCGTTAACTTGTTTTGTCCTACTCGGATAGCCAAGATATATGTCCAAATTGGAATGTATGTTTTTACTATCAAAATCTCAACACAATAAGGGTTGACCGCATGTAACTAAAAACATGCTAGGGAAATCAGAAAATCTTAATTAAAATACAGGTCAGTAATAGCAACAGCACCGGTATGAGAATAAAAGTAAAAGAATTAAAAGTAACGAAAGAGAAGTCCTGTATTCTAGGAGGCCCCACCCGAGATCAGACGTTTAACTGTTGGTACAGACAATGATTCGATGATTTCCACGGAGGGAGGAGGCAAGCACTAATGAACCGCAGCATTATGTCCAGTTTCGGCGCGTTCCCTTTTCATCATGTGTCCGAGCTGGGGCTTCAGGCAATCAGACACAAGTTTAACAAAAAGTACATAGAGACAAGCAGTCAACGCACGTACGGAAAACGAGTGTGTGCAACCCAAAAGAAGGTAAGGCAGATAGTCAGATGCCTAATACCAATTGATGTAGGATCTTTGCGTCCAAGCTAGATAGCCAGTAAATGTCTAGTCTACCTTGTGGTATGGAGGTCACGCAGAAGCACCTTTGGTGGAACAGACGAGTCCTAGTTACAGGTGACACGTTGACGTGTGGGTGCAGTTTTGATGGGACATGATATTTCTGTGACAGGCAATGTACTAAGGTCTATGAAAGGGAGATTTTCTAGTCTGGAGCCTATTAGAATCAGAATCACTGTATGTGAGGATAAGATTACATTATGTTCTACTGAACAACTACGATCCGAGCATCGAAGTGCGGCGGATCCAGCTGCTAGGACTCACATTCCAATAATAACAATAAATAACAAGAAGATAGTGGGGCTGGATGCAAATAGAATGTAGAGAAAATGCATTCGACTAATCAAAGTGGAATGAAAATTAATAACCAGATCAAAGAAACCGAATACAGAACGCCACTGACTGCGTCATGTCTGATACGCTTTCCAACTATCGATGTGGACCATCCCGAGGCCCCAATCGAGGAAGACGGCACACGCCAACCTGACTGTCTCTCTGTCAATTTCTTCAAGCTGCTATGTGACGTCATGGACTGGCCATCTCGCGGTTTCGTCCCCCTTGGTGCAGCACCAGGCATATAATGCACGTCGAGGAAGCTGATCAACGGGCATACGGAGGACATGGCCTAGCCAATGTAAGCAATTAAGAATCAGCAAACACTCGAGTGAGGCACCGGAAGACTTCTTGCCAAAAATCAACTGGCAGAACTAAGCATTGCTCACCCGGTGTTCCCACCAGACGTGAGAAATACTCTGCAAGTACTGGTGGTCAAACACGTCGTGTTTAATTTCTTCACTGCGAACTGGCCAGGTCTCTGATCGATAAAGTAACACTAGCCTAATCGCAGCGTTCAACACCTTACCTTTCGCTGAAAAGCTGACATCTCAATATCTTCATAGACAATTAAGCCTATGGAAAGCCAAACCAGCCTTACTGATACGCGAAGTAACCTCAGTGATGTGAACACCAGAGATGAGACAGCTACCAAGATAAGTGAACCTATTCACCAGTTCCAGTGGCCGTCCAGTAATCTCTAAAACCGGAGGTGTGTCGGTCCAGTCCTGTAACAGTACTTTGCACTTCGAAAGTGCAAAGTGTATGCCGTAGTGTGCAGTGCTACGCGTCAGTCTGTGCAGTAGTGTTTGCGTAACCACTGCGTCAGACCCAAGGAGAGCTATGTCGTCCATATACTCCAGATTTGTCGGTCGATCACCTGGTAGAACTTCCACCCCGGTAGAGTCTGAAAGAACCGAGTCAATCGTGATCATTCGATCACAAAGTTGAAGAGTAAAGGAGATATAGGACAACCCTGGTGAACCTCCCATGCCGTTGAGAACTCAGAGGACAGCTTTCCGCAGAATCTTACACGGTCTTATGATTCAAGGTATAAACTTTAAGTTGGAAAGGAGTTTAGCTGGCATACCGTTCATGGATAGGCAGTGTCACAATCTAACGAGATTAACAGTCGAAGGCGGCTTTCAAGTCAAGGAAAACCATCACAGTCGGTCGATAGGACAGTTGACAGTTGCCAGTCTGAAGACACTTCTTCCGTGTCCTAGATCGTGTTAAATAGAAAAGAAAGAACAGTCAGCAAAGAGTTATCTAATCTTTCAGCAAATAGTAGTGTTCAGGAGTGCGGCACAATAGCGGTGTTTTCCCACCTCTAGCTGATGTATATAATGAAGATGATGAGTGTTCAGGAGCCATGTTTCGTTCCAACCCAGAAATCTCATGTCAAATCTCTTCACACGGCGGCTCCACTTATTCGGCTAGCGGCAGTGTTGCAGCAGGTCTGCTAAACTGCTCTTCAAAATGTGCCGCCCAATGGGCTAATCGACAATGACGAGAATGGATCAACTATCGTTCTCATCTATTGTCTCGCTTATTGGCAGCTTTCTCGGACTCGTGTTTAGTATGATTTGGGGAAGCATTCGGCTGTTTCTAGTAGCACTGGCTCTCTCGAGCTCAAGAGTCTTTGCAACGCTCTCTGCCAAACACCATTTCAGAGAGTTGAAGAAAGGCTTGAACTCAGTATCGGTTGGACCGTTTATGCGCTTCGATCAAACTGATTGGTGCTTCAGATATCCATTCAGTCATGTCTCAATTTGGATGCACGGCAAGTGTCAGTTATTCTTTATGGCACACTTGAAACGATCCCAGTCAGTGTTAAGCTCACTAACCTTATGGGTCACGACAATTGGTGGGTCAGTTCCTCATGATATTGTTGAATTGCAGACTGCGAGTTCAAGTTACAGGTAGGAAGGTTCAAAAATAAACTCTTTTTTGAAGCGGGAAGAATGAACACTAGGCGTGCACGCACTAGAAAATGGTTGGAATTCAGTTACGTGCTCCAAATTGACAGACAGTCTTGGACTGATGTGCGCCATCTGTAGCTGATGTCAATATGGATCAGGGTCGTCGAAGAAATCGGTGGGCGCCAGGTGCCGCGGTGTGTACTTTTGTGCTAGAAAGCACTGCTAATAATATAAAGGTGGTCGCCACAAATCTGCAAAAATCGATCACCACTGCCCGTTCAGCGTTCATCGATCCTCACGCGGTCTCCCAAGTGTTGTTCAGAGTCTGAAATACGACCCAATTTGGCATTCAAGTCACCAGCAACAATCACGATGTCAGTATTCTTCGCTATGCAAAGGGAACATGAGGGCTGTCGATGGAAATTGTCGTTGAACTGCGTTCAGTAGGGGCATAAACTGAGGCGAAGAAAAGGCACCTTGTCTTCAGACGGTGCTTATTAACTCTACTAAGGTTCGAAGTCGAACCGCACACATGCGGCTGTTCACCGGCATCCAGTCGAGTAGATAGCTTTCAGCATGTTTGGCGAGGGGGATACCAACACTAAATATCTTGAGCTATTGACTTAGTAACGACAAATGTACGTATGTATGTATGTAATCGCAACGGCCTAGCAACTAGACATAGGGCCAACAAAGCCATGGAGATAAGCAGATAAGGGGAAGTCACCTCGTCATAATCATCGTGGCACGGTAGTTGAAGGTGAGCAACGCACTTCAGCTAATATGCCGCAGGAAGGATGGAATATTTTGACAAAAAGTAGAACAAAACATTTTTAGCTTGTTTTTCACATGCCGATTTTTCATTTTTTTTGTTATTTTCAAGTAACGACAGATAAGAGAAGAGTGTAGTCATCGTCGTCAGATTCAGGGATAAGGAGTCGAAGATTTGTCACGACGCTGTTATCTTGTAGGCGTGTTTCGGAGACAATGCAAACATCAATACCAAGAAAGTGAAGATTGAGTTAGTGCTACCTGTTGGCCGATCTGACCAAAGGTGCAGACGTTAAAAGAACAGATGTGAAATGAGACTAGTTTTGATAGAAAAGCCCCATGTATCGATGGCAGCAGCTGCAAAGCCAGAGGCAGTCTCTCGCTGAATAGACAGGAAAGAAGAGGGTTGAATGGGGAAAGAAAAATAAGGAGAGGGAGTATTGTCGATGGGGTTGAGAGGGCAAATGATACTCTCCGGCTGCCTGTCCTGAGAGGGGTTCTGTCTGAGATTTTATCTCTAGACTTTGACTCAACAGTTTGACCCACAAAGCAATGCGGTACATGGACATTTGTTTGAGGGACTCTACTCGGAGTTTTGGCTCAATAGAATGACTCAGGATATTGGGAAGCAAGTCAACCTAGGGAGTGATTGAAAAGACCCGTTGGGATTTCCTTGGGGTTTGTCACACAGCCTTGGAAGATTTAGAACAACGCACGTGTTTTACGACCGCAATATGTTAAGCACCTACGACCACGGCCAGCCACAGGTAAGTTGGCGGGTTTGCACCAATCTGATCAGGCAGGGGCTGTCTGGCTTGAGGAGAGCGGTAGCAAGCCATTGAACATTGGAAGGAGCCATCTCACCGTCAGAGACAATAGGGGAGCTAGTGCTCTACGCCGGTCGAGCAGTGAGCATGTGAATCTTCCCTTAAACAATTTCTCGATGCTCTGGTCGCTGCAGAGTATAAACAATGGTGACCTATCTGCTGCATCGAGCAGAGTGGATAGATGTTTGGATACTACTGCTCATTCTTGCCCCATCGACAAGCCCATGTCTAATGAAGCAGTCAAGCCCAGTTCATCGGTTTATACCTGAGGCCCCCGATCCACCCTCAGATTGGCATGCCTCAACCTATGCACATGGTTACACGCATCATTTGCTCGAAAATT